ACAATGTCGAGCTGAGTGGAGGGAAACCATGGTGTCTCTGTGGGCATAGGAGAGATTCTTCACAGCATCCTGGAGTCATTGTCCCATGGGGAGAAACTGAAGCTGTCAGACCAGCAGGTATGGGGAACAGGCACGTGCCAAGGAGACCCATGTTGTGGACAAAGGGGAGGCATGGAGCAGAACTGGCCTGACAGTGTCTGCTGCTCAATGAATGGTGTGCAAAGAGCCAGAAGATCCAGGTGCTCACTGCTCTCAGAAGGAGGTGACTGGAGGAATGAATTACCAAGTGCACCAGTAAAGCAATTCCTCCAGCTTTAATTTATCTACATCTTATTTGACACCTTGGGGTAATCATTTGGCCTCTGCTGCTCCATCCATGTCCTTGTTTTTCTAATTTCTGTCATGTCTTCCTAATTAATATTGCCCAAACCTATCCTTTTCTCTCTTTTCTCCATTAAAACATTTTTCTAGAACATGTCTGTCTCTGTATTTCGTTAGTTTAAAATCTTCAAATGCCTTCTTAAAATGTGTCTTGTGTGACAACAGTGAGTGCTCCTGAAATTAAGGCTGTATTGTAGCATCACCCTATGACAGAGGAGAGTTAACCATGTGTGGGCAGCATGAAGAACAGCTCTTCTCACATTGACTACTTGCCTTAGCAGCCTTAATAGTGTCATTTTACTGGAATTTTCTTTTTGCCTTGTACACAAAACGGTTACATTTAAATTATCTGCATAACTGAGAGGGGAATTATCACCAGAACCATTATAACCAGTACATAGATATTTTGCATGTCCTCTGACATTTAGGATACCTACACACAGAAGACCTTACACACATGCAGTGGGAAGGTGAGACACCCAGTGCAGTCTCTGCCTTGCACAGAGACAAGATATAGCTCCAGGGTCCTGCAGAAGTTGACCTTCAGGCTGTGACACACTGTACTCATGTGCAAGACATCGCAGATCAGCCTGTTGTGAGAATGGGAGTCACTGTCTTCAAGGAGCGTCTGATTAAGTGTAATTTTTCCCCGAGTGAGACAATGATTCCTGCTGTGGCCCTGCCATTTCACTGGGAATGAACAGCATGGCGCAGTGAGGAGAAACATGCTGGCTGTTAATGAAGTGCATGGGAAGAGGCTACAGGTATCAGCTGGGCATTGAGTGAAGGATGAGCGAGAGAGGAGAGAGAAGGACAGAACGGTGAAGACCTGTGAAGGTAAACTCAATAAGTTTGAATGCAAGAGGGTGGACGAGGCAGCACCTGAGGAGAAACCCAAGGAGATGCTGATATAGTTGGTGTCATGGAGGCTCAGGCCATGGGGATAGGCAGGATGTTGGTGAGTAGGAGGGATAAGTGCGGTCTGCACTTGGACATATTACAGCTGTATAAGGATAGGGGGAAAAATAAAAGCCAGAGGTTTGAAAAATTGCAAGAGAAAAGAAAGGATTTGAGTCTAGCCTGGATATGTGCAGCAGAAGGAAAGTCTAGGGCAAAGAAGCCTCCCAATTTAAACGACTTTTTTGAGTGAGAAGTCAGGGTTGTTTCTCAGGCAGTCTTACACACTACAGCAAACAGTCCTGCTATGGAAAACAATAGACATATTTTGAGCACTTTAACATTCTATACATGAGACTCATGTTTGCCGTACCATGCATTCCTTGCTGCTCCTTGTCAGCCAGGAGGCAGTGGCCTCTGAATTGGGAAAGTTGAAGACTTCATGACCGCGTGGTTTCTTCATCACGTGCAGGTGCTAAAGGTTCTCTGCAGGGTTGTGGACTCCAGAAACCAGGAGCAAGCTTGTGGCTCATCTCGCTTTCTTCCTAACACTCCTATGGCTGCCTCTACACTATCTTGCCAGTAGTGGCCAAAGGAGATAGATAACTTTCTGCTGGAAATGCAGGGGAGAATTTAGAGCCAAACAGACTAGAATAAAAGTCCTATTTTGAGATACTGCTCTACTGACTCACTCGCTTTGGGCCAGCTGCTTACAGGTAGTTCAACAGTGAGACAAGAGCAGTGAATGAAGTATTTTTTGTTCCCGTGAAAAAAAACTGTGGTGACATTTTCTCCATAGAATTTTTTAAGTTTGTCTAAAGCAGGACTTCTTGACAATTTCTTGACAACCTGGGGCTAGACTCTGTAACAGCAATTTACTTGGGATCTGCATAGCAGATACATTTAGAAGGTCATATAATGGTGGAATATCTTTCTGGGGCCAGACAGAATTGTCCCCCCAGGCTACCAGTTGGAGAGCTCTAGCTGGGTTAAAAAAAGGCAAAACAGAATGCAAATGCTATGCTATTACTTGTTGAGTTTTGGGAAATGTTTAAGCAGAAAAAGAAAGAGTTTTCTTACTTTCAAAATTAACAAAATCCCTTTTTTTTCCTTTAGGAAAAAATAATTTATTGGTTTTTTAAAACTGACTTTCTGAAGAAAAAATGATAATCACCACCAGCTTCAGTGGACTTAGCAAAACGAATGAAAGGCCTGATTTTCTGTAATACCCTCCACATCTTTACATTGCTCTAAAGTTGAAGGTCAGAAGGGTGGAAGGTTTTGAAGAGCAGTGTGACATACTTGTGATAATTAGCTACCTGTACTTCTGCGATTTTTATCCTTCTGGAGGTGATGCCCGTGGCAGCATAGTCAACATGTTTGTCTGAGACCAACAGTCATAGCAGGCACTCAGCTCTATCGGAAAGTAAGTTAAAGCCAGAGAAATCTGGGGCTTGACAGCTGGGACCCAAAACCGACTGGACTTGGATATTTGTGTCTCAGAAGTTAATATAAGGTGACTGAGATCCACTAGCAATCTCTAATTACTGCTTTTGCTTGCCTGTACGCTTGAGTCTACACATCTAAAGGGCACCATCCTGCTTTCAGGCTGGAATATCCCACCATTAGTTTTGGAAGTTACTTTGTCAAACAAGCTGATGTTTAGGTTCTCCCAGTAAGAATCAATGTTAAGAAAAATTTTTGCTAAGGTCTCTCAATCCCTGCTCCGCTCTCAGCTGTGACCTTACAGTACCTTGGAAGCAGCAATAAAGCCAGCCTCACAACCCTGCCCTACAAGCTAGATATGTGTTGCTGTCCTGCTTAAGCCTTGTAGCCAGAGAGCCTTTGAGCTAAGAGGAGATAAGGTGAATACCTGTCCAGAAGATACACTCCCTTACCTGACTTGGCTCACACCTCATTTCTCCATTTACCTTTGTTCTTCCTACTTGTCAGTATGTGGAGAATCAGGCTCAGTAGTCCCCTAAATATTTATGATAAGAATTGCTATTTCATTGCCAAAAGTCCATTTCTAACCTGTGGGTATCCCTGGAGCATTAGTTTGCAATGTCACCTAGAGCTGTGCTGGTCTGCTCATCTTGTTATGAGCTTTTATATGGTTAAAGCTCTGAAAAGCAGGTGGGCTCTGGAGAGAATGGGGCTAATTCATAAATTCTCATTTGAATTTCCCAACTGCCTCTTCACACCAAACTCTTTGTCCTTTATTCCTCCAGAGCTTGAGAGTGCAGCAACCCAATGACTACTTGTGAAGGGGAACGCTGCGTCCGCTCACATCAGGGGCAGGGCTTCTTCAATCAAAGGGGAAAATAGCCTGTTCAGACCCTCTGTGAATGGGCAGGAGGAACTGTGCATAGAAAAGGGCCATGAAACTCTTGGAAGTACTGCCTGACATGCACCATAGCTAGCAAGGGATGAGGTAAGAATTTTGGGAGGTGGGCTGTCCAGGAGGGGAAAGGGGAAGGCAGCATGGAAGGGAAGCATAGTGTGGAGACTGAGAGTGGCTTTAAAATCAAATGAAACTCCAATAAGTCTTAACTCTGGAAGTTTGCCTGAGAGACAGAGTCCAGATCAGCTGCAAGTAAGGGAAAAGAAAAGGAATAGTTTGTCCCATTACACTTCTCGGGGAAGGTCTGCAAAGAGCACAGGATGGTGGACAACCAGAAATTGCACATCCCAGTGGTAGGCACATGGGTGGGGGAGATCCCCTGTCCACCAGACGGGATGGGATCAAATGCGTCAGGGTCCCCATGCTGCCACAGTGCCAGAAGGGACCCTTCACAGCAACACCTTTGCAAACAGTGGGATCCCACTGAGACACCATGCACATATCACCACATGTTGGCTGGCTGAGCCCTCCCATTGCGGGTGCAGTTCAGAGTGTCCCTAGCTGGTGGCTCACAGGCAGCTGAGGCTGTGATCTTTCCACGCTCCAACTGGTGGGGTTGAGACAGCAGCAAGGCCAGAGCTGTGTGAGCACGGTGCAGCTTTCAAACCCAGCGTCTTAGCATGGTCTGTCAGCTGAGGCACAGGGTTAGCTTGCTCTATCTGTATCTGCTGTGGTGCTGGCTTGGGTCCAGCAGGCTCAGAGCACAGCTGCTTGGTCCACCGAGCAGCCATCCCCCTGGAAGACCAGGCTTTCAGCTGATGTTCAGCCCTTGTCCCCTTGCAGTCTAATGCATCACAGCTGCTGGAGAGCTGCCCCCACAGCTCTGTCTTCCCTTCAACCCCATGACCTATTTTTCCCTTTCCTTAGGTACCGAAATTCCCCTTCTGCCACATTCTCCTGCTGCTGACCCTGTCAGCATTTCACCTACCCGTCCCAGCCACCTCTATTTTGGTCCAGGTGCTTTAGTCTTTTCTGTACCCTCACCACCTCCCCTTCCAAGGGGGGGATATTTTCCACCCCACCACTAGCAGCTGCAGCACCCTGCTGCTGGTGAGATGCCAAACCTTCACCTCTAAGCAGCGCACACGACTCTGAGCATGAGACAATTAGGAGAGAAAGAGGGAAGGGGGAAAGTATCGACAGGAGTAAATTGAGAGAAATCATAAAGCTTAAGCAGAAAGAAAGCAGTTTGAAAGGTAAAGTATTCAGAGAAAGCCCTTTCCTGGATGAATCTAATTGTTTTGTTATCTTTACCCACCAAAGCATTTACTTTGGTTTGTCGCCCGATCCACAAACACTTTCGAGGAGATGACATTACCGAAAGGCAGGAACATCTGCATCAGCTCAGCATCCCCAAACTCCTGGGGCAGATGGTAGATAAACAGGTTACAGCCCTCTGGTCCTATCAAGAGAAAAAGAAGACCCATGAATGGAGAGAAATAGGATATGAGAAAGCACATGGTGGAGATTTACTTTGACATCCCCTCTCTCTGACTGGTGAGTGGTCACCTCTAGGAAGCAGACTGTAGACTCTCAGAGGAACGGACAAAGCAGAAGACCAGGAACTCAGAAAGTCACCTAGAAGCTATGCTAACTTCATTAACTTTCCCAGGACAGACACCAGGATAAAATCTAGAGACAGAGGAATGCAGCAGCACATGTGGCCATGGAAAGACAGAATGGAGGAGTAAGAACAAAAAGAATGAAAGAATGCGGTTCATAGTTTTTCTTTGCTCCTCATAATCTGATTTAATCTGTAGAGTTTTGGGTGACCCACACTAACCCTTGCCTCTTCTCAGTGTCTGCATGCAGAAGTTTCATTATCCTTCTTGTGTCTGTGTGAAGACTGTGATAACAAGTAGAAAGATATGCGCAAACCCACAGGCTTATTTTGTTTTGTAGAATTTTACATTCAACCCCCCAGCTTGACTCAGCCTGAACACTCCCTCAAATCTGGACAGTTTGGCCGTGTCTCCCATTCTAGAGGGTTCTGCAAGAGACATTACAGATGGATTTAAATCCAAATTACTAGACAAGAGGAATTGCCTTTTTTGCCTCAGTGCTGTAACATATAATCTTACAGACTTCAGAGGATGCCTGGAAAAATATCCAGAGAGGAGTCTTTAGCTGGAATATGCAGTTTTGATAAAGTAGAGACCTTCAGAAAATGTTCTGTTGAAATTGTATTTTGGGACAGAAGAAGGAGAATCTGCCTCTGGTCAAATAGCCTAGAATGAAACTTTTCAATGTGACTTTTATTTTTAAGCATGCTGTACTTGAGCAAAAGTCAAAAGGAAACAGGTATGTCCAAGTGGTTTTGTTGAAAAAAATAAACCTTTAAACCCCTGCCAGTGTTCACTAGCAGACAACTGTATAGTTTGAGGAAGCAGGGATTGTTTTTCTCACCGTCTTATTTTCACAGGTACTTCCAGCTGCTGCTCAGCTCTGCACTGGCCTCGAAAGGTAACTCCAGCTCTGCTTTGCTCAGGGAGGTTGAGATGAAGGGGATACAGTGCGTGCTCCTTGCCACAAGTGTAAGAGGACAGAGGGAAGGAGGGTTTCCTCCTTCTCCCCAGCCCATGTGCCTACAACCCTGTGACCTGCCTCAGCCAACTTTCCCCTATTTACATCTGGGGCACAGTGTGGGGAAGGAAAGGGTTTTTTACCACTCTCATTTTCTTCATCAGGGCATAATTACAGTGTCATAACACAGCAAATTACAACTTTGCCTTTCCTGTTAGGGAGAGGAGTTTGCCTAGATGCTCCCATCTTTTATTAGCCATTACTCATCCCCCCGGCTGGCAGGAAAAGTACGGCAAAGTCAGGATTCTGACAGATGCCCATTTAAAGCTCATTAAAATTCCTGGGCCTCAGCGTGATTGAAGTCACAGGCTCTCCACATTTCCTTTTGGATTAATGGAAAACGAAACCCTAATGAATATTTGCTAAGCACAATTTTCCCCACTAATTTGCTAAAAGGACTGTCACGAAGGAACAGCTGATCCTTTGCATCTTGTGAATTTCCTGGAGGTCATGAGGATGGTAACAGGGTTTCTACCAAATGGGAGGAATAGTGGTACAGTGGGATAATTAAATAATTAGGCACCTAGTCATCTGTTTAGCTAAATTACTTTTGAACCTCAGTGGCCCACAATCAGGCACCCCTATTTCATGCCAAGCTTTTCTATCTTCCCCCCACCTCCCGTCTGCCTCTTCCTTAGTCTCCTCACTGAGCAGCTATCCCTTCTCCAGTCCTTGCTGCAGTTCATTTCCACACAATGTGGAGTTATTGGCATGATAAACTAGATATGAAACAGTTTGAAAGTGTTAAACAAACACCGACCTCCTTAGGTGTCTGTTAGAATTGAGAAAATTCTGCCCAGCAGAAGACCACAGTCCAGAATAGCAGGGAAAAAATCATTCCTTCATCTCAACGTGCCCCAAAGCACTTTTGCTGTGGGATTTGAGATCCATGTTATAATAGAATGGGTAAAATCTTGGCTTTGCTGCAATTAGTGGCAAAATTCCCACTGACATCACCAGAGCCAGCAGTTTTCTCTGTAAAACTGGCAAATTCTTTCAAAAATGCCAGCTGCATTTCCTGGGGTCTTGGATGTGTTGTACATGAGTAGGGATTCTGCCTGCATGAGTTGAGAAACACCTACTAAGGCATAAGGCAGACCAGGAGGCACGCAACTTCATCTACACCGCGTTTAGAGGTTGTGCTCAAGGAGATAACAACCCTTAGCTCACCTTGAAGTCAGCTTTGCCTCACACTGCTCAGAGACCAAGAGGAAGACACCAAGGAGGATGTGAAAAAGCAGAGACCATCCTCAAAGCCCAGTTCAGCTCTGAAATGTGGCTGGGAAACCCATGCTGTGGCTTCCCATACCAGCTCAGACATTGAAGGCCAAACTCTGTTCGCAACTACAGAGGGTTTTTGCTTACTTCCAACGCTAAAAACTCCAGCTGCTACTGAGAAACAACCTGGGGTACTTTAATTTGTTTTACCATCCTCACATATCAAAATTCTGCCATTAGAATTTATCAAGCAATTTCTTGTTAAATCCATCTATCTGTAAGTTACCTGTCACAGTTTTCCTTGGTAAAGAATTGACAAAACAAGCTTTCTCTGCCTCAGCCCTTCTACCTTGTTGTGGTGTTTTTTGCCTGACTCAAGTTAATCTGGGCACTCCATGGAAGACTATGTATTTATGTGTATGGCCTCCTCTTCTTATATACGTGTATATTTTTAAGAAACCAATTGTATGAGTTGTTCAGCTCAGAATGCTATGAAGAGCTAAGTTAGATTTCAGTGCACACATGCAATGAGTTTTAAAGGACTTGGTCAGGATCACTGGAGCAAGAGGAAGATCACAGCTGGTATGGCAAAACCTTAGTGAAGACTCCAATTATCTTGTTGGAGAGAAAGGTCTTTTTTTGGACTGAATTAATGGATTATCAGAGATCAGTATACTTGGCAGTTCAAGGATGAATACAATACTAAAATTATTTACCACACACTTTACTTCGGTTTTCAAAAGAGCTGTAAGTCAGCCTGAAATCTAACCCTCATGACACATTATGAGAAGAGAATCAAGATTCATTTCTACCCTGACATCTACCATGGCTCTTGGTTTTATGGCTTTAAGTTATAGATATTTCTGTTCATTAATACACAAGAAGCACATAGCCTTGATTTGGACAAAACAGAAAGAAAAGTTTTAAGGAACGCACAGTTTATGAATGGTATGTAAATTACAGGCAAACCATACTGGATAATGGAAAAACCTGTGACTGAGGATACAGGAGCATGTGCTAGAGAACTCTGTGTTGGGTCCATGTTGATTTGGCTTGGTTGGACCTGAGCTGCTCAGCCATTGCTCTGCCCATGCTCCTCACCCTCCAGCTCATTGTTAGTTCTTTAGCGTGGGGACAGCAGCAGACCCAACCTATCCCTGGGTGTCCACTATCAACATGAGTAAACTCCACATACCTGAGCTGACATCAGCTATCATTACATCCCCAATACCGTGAGTCAGTGTCAAAAGGAAAGGCTATGACTAGACTGCTCTTCCAACAGTAATTAAAAATGGGCTGTCCCGTAAGGTTGTGTGAAGTTAGCCTGCGGCCCTTTGGTCAGCTGCACACTTCACCTCCACAGCAAATACTCAGAGGCTGGAATTTCATTGCCTCTTCTGTATCTGCTTGCTATTCAGTCTCCAGCATGTTTGAGCACAGGGCAGATGAGAGTCACAAGCCAGCACCACTTTATTTTGATATCTAAGTGTACTTCTGAGTTTCAGAAACTACATCAAAATGAGTAATACCATACAAATGTAAAATTACCCCCAAGTTTTGCCTGGTTGACATGGCCTGAATCAAGACTTCATCAAGCTTTTGGATCTGTTCCACCCTACGCACCCCATCAGCTGCCAGCAGCCTCAGCGCTCATGTGGAAGTAATGACTAATCTCTACAGGAACGTTGCAGCGGCCAAGCTGCTCTGGGCTTGTTATCCAACCAGGATCTGGGAGCGGAGAGTTAACATTGTTATTAACAATGTGATCATCGATGTTATTGTTGTGGTAGGGCTGGTTCATTAATGAATCAATGTTTGTGCACATCCTTGCAAACATAAAGTACTCTTCTCAGCACCGAGCATTATTATTAGAGTTCCCTCTTGCTGTGTTTTCCCGTTAAAGGTTAGAGATGCTTAAAGGTCTTGACCCTCTGCTAAAAAGGAGTGTCATGCTTTAGAGTTCTTTCCTCTAGCAAACAGCAGAGAAAGCCACAGCATCTAAACACTGCAGAAAAGTGGAGGACACTGGGAACAGCAACCTGCATCGGACTGGTGGTTCATCGCATATATCTGGCCCCCAACCATCCTCAATACCAGCTGCTTACTGGAAGGAGTGAGAAGTTATGAGATAACTTGTCTGCTGGGTGACACTTACCCTCAACTCACAGAGACACAACGTGCCTTGCAAGAACAGGGGTCTTTGGGCAGTGGGTCTTCAAAGTGTGCACAACAGCTAACCCTTGCTTCTGATGGTTCCTGGCACAATGCTATGCTGAGCAATGATCTGCTCGCCATTTTGTCCTGTGCTTAATCTAGCCCCAGTAAGTAATAAAAAGCAAAGTCCTTCAGCATGGGGGAAACATCTCTGTAATGATATGTTAGGTCTGTGCATCTGTTCTCACAGCAGGGACATGTACTAGGGCTAATCAGGAGCTGGAAGTTGTGTTCCCCAGGAAATTCTGACATCGGAAAAAAATTAATTCCAAATTAGATCGAAGTGCCGACATTTCTAATTTTCTTGCAAAATGAGATTTCTCTCCCAAAGTAGTTCCAGGCCATCAGAATGTTTTAGTTTGATAGTGTAATCTTGATTCATTTCATTCTGACTGTTACACTATATTAAAATATTAAATGTCATTATATATATATAATAACACGTATAACACAGGATATATCTGAATTAGTGATCTAATAGAAGATAAAAGTTGAAATGTAATTATTTAAAATGAGGGTCTCTATGCTAAGCTAAAGCCCCTGACTTAAATGCCTCACTTAGGCAAGCAGTCTCCTCTTCTAGTCAAAAGGTAGCAGTGGATTCCCTGGAGGATGGTTGGGACTACCTGAGTGGGTTACCTGTGAGTATCCCACTGCTCCCCACTGACTGTAAAGAGAACATCACATGGCACAGTTGCCTCCCAAAACATTTAGATGCAATAATGAGAGATTCACGTCTCCTTACTTTTCATGTCTCCAGAGCAGCCATCCTGTCCTGCAGACTAGACAACCCAGGCTCCTCTCATAGTCAATGTAAAGAAATAGGTACTTTTACTATATGATTAATCTCATCCTGATATAGAGATTGTGCTCTAAAAGGGCTGATTTCTGTGTCCAGATTATCAGTGGAGTCTAAAAGGACTAGACCAGCTCCTCTAAATAGCAGGTCCTTGTTCTCTAAATAGCAAGTGTCTGAAATCATGTTACTGGCTTCTAATGAAGGGCCCCCAGTGCTTTGTGACCTATTAAACTCTTTGTTCCAATGCAATTGCATTTTTATCTGCATTCTCGTTGCTTGTCTCTAACATGGACCCCCCTGGACGTTACTGCCTGCATTGCTAGCAGGTCTTTCCATGGCCCATGCACATCAGCATGCTCCCTTTCCTGGAGACTGAAGAGATCTCAGCAGCGACTCCCCATGGGGTTGCTCCCACATATTACTGCTAGTGCCAATGACGCCGTGCCACATACGGAAGTTGAGAAAAGACTCAGTGGACCAGGGATTCAAAGCAATTAGGCATTTAATGGATATTCTTTAGGTGTATGAGGAAGGGAACCAATGTGGTGGGGATGGCGTGCTGGGGCCAGAAGGGAGGACAGCCCATTTACTCACCTTCTCTCTGTTGCTGTGGGATCATGGGAGGTGGCTGTGGGAACGCTTGGCTAATCTGGCCATAAGCAGCAGGATAAGCAGCTATAGAGGAGAGAAAGGGAGAGAAGAAAGAGGGACAGATTTCAGTGCTGGGAAGCAAGGAGTTTTCACTCCAAACCATCATACACAGCTAGAGGTGGGCTTTGCCCCTGCATTTTGGCCTTGGGAAGGGCCATCTCATGCAGCCTGAGATGTGGCAGAAGCACCACAGTTGTGCTCCAGGCAGTGCCACATGGCCCTGAGCACCCACCCTCCCTTCAGCTTCATCAGCAGTAACACCGGGGACAGCCACGCGGTGTAAATGGAGGTCTCCACTGAGATGTCTCCCAGCAGAGGTGCATGACCATCCCAGATGGCACCACAAACACATTCATTCACGAGCTCAGTGCATTGATGCCTATGCTGACAGATACACGCAGAGCGCATGCACACATTTCCCTGTGTAATCTCTCTTGCACCCTGACTAATTCACATGTTCATAAAAACAGTTCACATGTGTTTTCTCCCTTACTCTAACCTTCATATGACCACATACTGTGTAGGCACAGTTACACATACACTGTTGGATACATATTTTCTTTCATGTCTGTAGAGAACTCCTCTCTCTCACACAAACACAGTGGAAACAGTGTGCAGCAATTAAACAATTTTCCCCACCTCAGCTCCCCCACCAAGCAGACAAGGGGAACCATTCAGTACCACAGATGGTAGATGATGTGCCTTGCTGCTAAAAATACAGAGTACGGGTCGCCTGCAAGCCCAGAGAGAGGGGGATAGGGGCCATGTGTGTGCAGAGGGGTTAATTAACAGCTCAAAGGGTTGAGCTGCTTCCCATCTATCAAACCTCACAAGCAATAAATGACAATAACTAAAACACCAGCAAATGAAGCCCTACTCGGAGAATTAAATTAAGTTTCCAGATACAGTGCTGACATGAGATAATAGCCATTCCTCAGCGGGAACCCATGATTGCTCCAGTTACCACAGGAAATAATGACTTTGGGGTGGTAGCTTCCTCGCAACATCGGCCATGGACACCTCGCGAGGGGAGGCTGAACACGGTGGGGTCGTGGTCTGCACCAGGTCACTTTGGCTGGTGTTAGTCCATCAACTGCAAAGGAGCTGCTCAGCGTACAGGGCAATGTGAGTGGAGGCTGACCCATTGGGAGCCATGGAGAAAGCTGCTGGGAGGCCAGGAGTATGTCTGTGTAGCTCCTAAGCAAGCCTCAAACTAACTAGCTGAGGTACAGCCAGTGTAGACATACCATACCCTGCCAGGCTCTACAGGGTCTGGTTGCTCATCTCCCCTCCTCGCTGCAGCACTCAGGAGACCTGCTATAGAAAGTGGCCCCCAAATCAGTGGCCTGATTTTGCACTTGTGCACTGTGCTAAACAGACCGGGCCTGGTCCTGCCAATGAAGCTATACCAAGGTACAGGTCAGCGGGAGCCTTTCCCTGGGGAAAGGGAAGAGGTTGCCTCCTTAGGGAGAGAAGACCCTGGGCTTTACATTTGTTTTCACAAGAAGTGCAAATTTAATCTGAGAGTCTGTGGCCCCCAGCTCGCCCCTATATCAGCAATCACCTCCCTTCCCCCAGCCCCCTCAGATGTGTCCAGAGATTAAAGGCTTTAGAGAAGAGAAATGTTTATTGGGAGAAAGTGTTAATACTAACGACCTGCGTACTGCTGCACTCCAGCGTAGGCTTGCTGCAAGGGGTCTGCTGCAGTGGGGCTCTGTGCTGTGGAGACACAAGAGAGAGAAGGAATTAAGGGGTTAAAACATGACAGGCACATTCTTTGTCTTCCCTCATCAGTATGTGGTGTGGGACAGACAGACCCAGGGGCTGAAGGTCCCAGAAGAGGAGCAGCTCGCTCACCTTACGGACAGGAATGCACAGAGCCCCCCATGATGGCCAGGAGGGCTCTGTCCCCCAGCTGTCACACTGTGAGACTTTGGAGCAGAGGGCAAACAAACCTCTCCCTTCCTTTCCCAAGCTTAAATTATGGAGCCCACCTCTGATGATGAGAATTTTTGGCATTGCAGTAATCAACCCCAAAGAGCCCTCATCTTAAGCCAGGACTGACACTGTGCTAGGCACTGTGCAAACTCAGATCTCCGTGACAGCTACAGTCACATGAAACTTTCAATCAGAGCAGAAAACAACAGGGGCATAGTAGGAGGAAGGAGAAGAGAACAAAGCAGTGGCTCCTGCCATCCCGACATCACTTCGAAGGACCGTGTTGCTGCCAGGCAGCCCCCTGTGCAAGAGGAGATGCTGCTTGGAGGGGAGGGGGACACCACTTGTCTGCTCCAGGGAGAATGCTGTGAATTTCTGCGTAAGGCATGCAGTCCCTTGCTGGCTTCAAAGTGCATTTTCTCTCTTTACAAGTGTGCATTCCTCCTCCCTAAACCTGTTTATTTTTGTGAAACTTTGAAGTCTAGCTCAAATACAACCAAAGCTAGTTAAGATTTTTTTTTCCTTTTCCCCTTTGGTTGATAGGGAAAGAAAAAAAGAGAGAGAGAGAAACGTGTTGGATAAGCTCTTTCTTTATGTGCAGCAATAAAATATTTAAAGCAAAGCTTGGCTGAACCTCCAGTCCAAATGTCACCTTGGCCCTAATATTTCACTTCTTGTTAAGAGTTTAATTTGTATTTATTGGTGCTGCACAGTTCTACATTTATGCAGTCCCTCTGGCTTTGTACTTGTAGGATGATGCCTTAGGGAGCTGCCACTTTCCTCCCTCCCTCCCACCTTCTTCCTTCTTACAAGCACAGAGGTGTGGCTGGAGGCAGGAGCTTGGAGGCTGCAAAAGGTGTGGGCCTCTTAGAAGGAAATCTAGTGCCATTGACCTACCCAAGGAGAGACACTGCCTGTATGCTGAAGTGTGGGGGAGATTGGCAAATGTGAGTGTTACGGACCCAAGGAACATGGACAAAGTGTTTTCTTACAGATGCAAATACCAGCTTGAACCTTAACTTCAAAGATCACCATTGATCATGATGGCAGCTTGCAAGGTCTTGAACTTATCTCCCAAAATACAAGGAGGAATGGTGAGAAAACCAAACTTTGAGGGGACAAACCCAATTAGCTGGCTAAGGCTTGGAGGCTCCTGTTCATTATGAGCATTACTAGATCACAAGGACTTTGAGGATGGGATAGTCACAGGAAGAAATAAGTGGGATTGCACTCTTAAGTTGGAAGTTGTTTGGTTGATTTCCTAGCTGTCTTTTGGCAGGTCCCTCAATATGTGTGTATGTGAAATTGGAAAGCACTGCCCTACTCTAAGTATTTTCATCCCTTGAAAAGGGGTGTGAGGAGAACACATTAAAACCTGTGGGAGATCAGTGGAAGGCATAATAGAGATGCAAATTTTTAGAGTAGATTCTCCAGGAAACTGGAGGAAATGCTTGGAAAATATAAAAACTGTTTCCACTTATTCCTGCCTTCTTGAAGACGGAAGCAACTAAAGTCTATTCTTTTTAACCTTTGCTCAAAACTGTTTTCCTCTAAAAACAGAATGTTCAGCATATTGCTCCAGAAGAAAACTGAACATCTATAAAAGGTTGAGTGATACACTAGTTCCCGCACCCCTTTGGGAGAATGGATCAGAATAACTTGGACCCCTCAAAATGAACGAGTCCTGTCAGGTAGAAAATATCTCTTGAGGAAGGTGAGGGGACATGAGGTAAAGGGAGCAAACCTTTTTAAGGCAACTATGGTTTTGCAGTCTGCAGTAAAGGAGATGATCTACTATGTCTGCCCCAAAGGCAACTGCCCTTCCTTGGTTGCACTCATCTGTTTATAGAGCTAGAAGAAATTGTCTCTGCTGCTCAGGAGATACATTCACAGCATTTCCTTCCTCTCCAGCTGAGGCTGGACTTGGGCATGCTCGTTCTCTCTCTGACATGCTGACAATTAGCAATGACTGCCTCTTCATTGGTATGGCAGAAGTCATTGAGCAGTACCTGTGTCCTGGTTTCAGCAGGGATAGAGTTAATTTCTAGTAGAGGATACAGTACTGTGCTGTGTTTTGAATGTGGGGTGAGAACAATGTTGATAACACACTGATGTTTTAGTTGTTGCTGAGCAGTGCTTACACTAACCAAGCACTTTCCAACTTCCCATGCTCTACCGACTGAGAAGGCTGGAGGTGCACAAGAAGCTGGGAGGGGGCACAGCCAGGACAGCTGACCCAAACTGGCCAAAGGGATATTCCATACCATGTGACGTCATGCTCAGTATATAAAGCTGGGGGAAGAAGAAGGAAGGGGGGAACATTCGGAGTGATGGTGTTTGTCTTCCCAAGTAACCATTACGCG